CCCAAGGTGTTCCCAGGCCAAACGAGACACAAAGTCCCTCTAGTGTGTCCTGAGTCTTCCCCGACGCCTCCTTCCGGTGGGACATGCCCAGACCACCTCCCGAGGGAGGCGCCCAGGAGGGATCTGCGGCAGATGCCTGAGCCACCTCAGCTGGCTCCTCTTGACATGGAGGAACAATGGCTCTACTCCGAGCTCCTCTCGTGTGACTGAGCCCCTCACCCTGTCTCTATAGGAACGCCCAGCCACCCTGCAGAGGAAACTCATTTCGGCCGCTTGTACCCACGATCTTGTCCTTTTGGTCATTACCCAGAGCTCATGACCATAGGTGAGGGTAGGAACGTAGATTGACTGGTAAATCGAGAGCTTTGCATTCCGGCTCAGCTCTCTCTTCACCACAATGGTCCGATACAGCGACTGCATCAGTGCCGATGCTGCACCGCTACATCCTCCCGTCATTCGTAAACAAGACCTTGAGAATTCCTCCACTTGAGGCAGAGACTCTCCACCCACCTGCAGAGGGCAAGCCACCTTTTTCTGGTCGAGAACCATGGCCTCAGATTTGGAGGAGCTAATTCTCATCCCAGCTGCTTCACACGTGGCTGCAAACTGCCCCAGTGCATGTTGCAGGTCCTGGCTTGATGAAGCCAACAGGACAACATTTTCTGCAAACAGCAGAAATGAGATCCTGTGGTCCCCAAACTGCACCTAGAAATTCTGTGACAAAACGCAGCCCCTGACGGAGTTCAAAATGCACTGGGAACAGGTCTGACCGGACAGCCCTTAGCAAAGGGCCCCGAACCCCATGTCATCCATGTAATGAGATAGAACTAAAGGGGGGTATATAGTGGTACATAGTGGTCAGGACCTCTTCAGCTTCTTCCTCCTGATCCTGCAGTCGGTTCCTCAGGACACTGCACTGGTGCTCAAGAGAGTTCATCTCCTGTTCATTCTTCTCCAACGCACTCACCACAGCCGTCAGATTCTCCTGAAAAACCACAGAGTGAGGCAAGAATTACTCACTTCCACATACAGATTATATCAACAGACATATTCTTGCTCAGCAGTGAAAATGTCAATTAGTAATAATGGTGTTTTTTTTAAATAATGATCCAGGGGAGGTTATTAAAAACAAATGAAAGGTTAAATATAAGCAAAAACTATTAAAAAGGAAAAAAAGTAAAATTTATTCCTCTTGACAGAAGACTGGCTTACATTAAAAGACTCAAGCTGCAAACATATCATTGATGATTTGTAATGATGGAATCGTACAGGGCTAAAAATTTTATTAACTGTACAGTCCTCTTATCATGAGAATTATCCAGTCTAATAGATAATAAATAAGCAAATAAGTCTTGTGGCTCTACTTACTTCTAAGGAGTCCAGAGTTTGTTTCTCAGATCCTAATTTCTTGGTTTCTTCCTGAATACGATGAATTGCACATTCAGATTTCTGTTTGTGACCGGGGACTTTAAGTGTTGAACAGTGGTCAAGAAATCTATGGCAAAAATTTAACAAATAAATACAATATAATAACTTTATCATACAAGGGAAATTATTTAAGTTTATCTGACTGACCTCTTTTTTACAACATTTAGGTGTTCCTGAACCTCTTTCTTCTCTGCCCACTTCCCAGCAAGGGTTGCTCTAAATTTATGTACGTAACTTTATTATAATTAAATTGTAAAAGACTTTGTGATATGAGATCTATACTTACAATATTGAAAGATCCATGATTTTCTCCAAATCTGCTACAGAGGATACAGACATCTGCCTCCTTTTCTTCTGTTCCTTTATTTTTGATGGTTGTGAATGGGACTCAGCTGAACAAAACAAAGATATGACTTTAGGGACAGAGTTAATTAACTGTAACAAAAAAGTTAAAGAAATGATTCCTGCTCCAAGTACTCAGTTTTTGCCCCCATAACGGTAATGGTAATAATGAAAATAAGTATACCATATAAAAGTAACTTTGGTTAATCAGTTCTACCTTTTTTGATTTGTAAAGGCAATAAGCGACATATTTTATCAAAAATAAATGCATTCAATAAAATTATTCAAATAAGTACTGCCTGTGCCACCACCATAGTCTCATATAAACCTATGAGAAACACTACAAATGAATGATGTTACCTTTTCTCTTTCGTGATGTTTTAAGTTGAGTTGTTTTACCATTCTCGTCTTCATTCTCAGTGTCCTAAGGCAAATAAATGTTAGGACCATTCTAGGGTTAGGGCAAATGGTGACCAGTGCAATAAATGAAAACGTCAACTCTCACCTGCAGTTTGTTTACTTCCTTCTTTCTCTTTTTCTCAGCATTTGGCTTCTTGTCTTTAGCCTTGCTGTTTGGTGCTTTCGATGCATTCCGATTGGATCCTCTCAGTGGTTTCATAATTACACACGCTAATTTACTGCACAAATGAAGTTTTACCTTGCTTTTCGTACTATCGTTAGCTAGTTGCAGCTCCGCGTAAACTTTTTTTTTTCTACTTCTACTCACGCTGCAGCGTAGATCAATCTACAGCTTAAATGATGTATGTCTTTTGGTGTTGATGGGATCTACAGGTTTTCTCTCCGTGCATAAAACTAATTAATTATTGACGATAAATACTTTCAAAGGCTAACGCTACATATTTTGGTTTCGCGCCGCTGTTTGAACCATTTTGACAAACTGCGCATGCGTCAACACGGGCTAAAGTTGTGTGAATTTTTCCAGGCTTTTGTGTGTAAGGCAAAAATAAATAGCGATGACACATGTAATACATTTTTAGTTGCAGATAACCACTTAAAAGACCACTAAATGTACTTATTCCTAATTTTATATTGATCCGTTGCTTCACTGTGGCTGGTTTCTATCAATAGAATTTACTGGAATTTTATTTAATTTTTTGTATTTTATTTTTATTGAGACAGGGACAGGGACAGGGACAGGCAATTTACATTAACCTTAACAGGAGAGATACATTGTACTAGGTTGTAGCACCACTGTTAATTTCCACCTGTAGTACCTGGGCAGGTTCATTGATTCATTGTATTTAACTGACCTTATCTATCAGCTGTTCTACCTGAAAACCTATGTATCATGTTTGGGAATCTGTAGGCTATGAATGCTGACTCCACTGTACTAGTTAGAATATAATATATATAAGACATTTCTGCAGTGGTTTAATTTAAATTCCATTTGACATTTTTCATCCAACAAACCAAAAGTCCAAGATATTTCCTTTCCACAGATTGACGACATAGGCATTGCATATTTATTATTCTGCATATAAAATGAACCAAATTATGAACACAGATATATACATAGTTGAAAAAAAGCCCTTTGAGAATGCAGATTTTAGACTCTTCCTGGGAGATGAAATTTCCCTGTAAATCGTCCATTGTTGCGTAAGTCAAAAGGACTTAGGACCTTCCTGAGGCCCATCATGTTTCCCCGAGCAATGTCTTTAAAAGTCCATGGATTTTGGTTGTTTTTCTCCCTCTCTTCTTGCTCTTTGTGCATCTCTTCAAGGGCTTCTCTGCTCATGACCTGTTGACAATTTATAAAATGGTTAAACAGCCAAGTAGTAGGCAGTTCTATGATAAGGCCCTTTTGATAAATATGTTTTCACCTTGGCAGGGAATGGGAGCTTCTTGGCCACTTCAGTAAGTATATGCTCAACCTCTCCCAGTTCTACTTTGCCTCCAACTTCTACAATCAAACGGCCATATTTGACAGGAGTTACGTAGTGGTCAATGGCTCCTTTGCCTCCGCCCATGCGCTGTCCAAGACCTTTTCGTGTGATAGGTTTGTAGGGGGCATTGATTCGCCATCGGGCAAACATTGTTTTAGGATCCATTTTTCGATTGATGGTCAGACGCATCATCTCCATGTGACCCCAGTGAAGATAACCTCCTCCCAAAGCCTATTAACAATACAAGAAAGCTTTTGGAGTATGAATTGGTATACACTCTTACAATTGTTCTTACAACTGTCTACAAACGTGTAGCCAATGTGTGTAACAGTTCATGTACTTTACTTACTACAATTGCATATTGTCCCGTGACAAATGTATTTGCAGCTTTGGCTGGCCCTTGAATGTCTCGCAGTCTCTTCATTTCCTTCTTGGCTTTTTTAAAGTTGGGGACTTTATTCAAAAACTTTAGCTTGGGTTTCTCTGGTAAGAATGCATCTATGAAGAAAAAAAAAAATGAAAGTAAGAGGAGTATACTACACAACCAACACTTACATTTTGCTAGAGAGGCTCTTGATCCTTTATCATCAACCAACAAGAAAAGGTTAGAACGTGGTTTTAATATTAATGTCCTAAATGCCATCTTTTTTATTTTATTCATAAAATATTCTATCTTTAAAATCACAAAGGTTAAAGGGTTCTGGTTCAGTCGAGGAACATGTTCTCTAGGGATGTGTGTGTTAATATCGTATCATTTAACATGATGATACAGTATCGATATTGGGAGCTGCTGTATTGATATATCGCCAAGAATATTTTTTGTTATATTTTACTAAATTATTTTGTTACAGTGCTTCAGTTTTGTTCCATGTTTAGAGGAAGTTAACTCATTTATGCAACACATTGACATTTTCACTGTTCTGATTACAATGGGTGTTTCATATGAACTTTGAAATCACAGCCATTATTTTTTTATTGAACCGTATTGAATTGATTTGATATATATCGTATCAAACCAAAAGTGCACTGTATCAAGATATCTATTGCATCGTGGCCATTGTATCAAGGTGTGTATTGTATCAGCAACTCTTAATGATACCCAGCCATAATGTTCTTATTGAGAACATTGAGAGCCCATAACAAATGCACACACAATAAATTCATTACATGATGACTTATGTAATTATGTAGTGTGGTTACCGCTGAAGTCTGGAGGGATCTCATAAGTCTTTAGTCCAGCACTCAACACTTTGAGATGGCTCTCTACCAGACCTGTTGAAAAAAAATACAATTTAACTACACATCGATGCCCATGTGAATTTAGAGTACACTTTATATAACCCTACAGGGTTGTCATAATCACTAATCACTAATAAAGTCTGGGGGCAAATGCAGCCCAAAACATTGTATGTTGGCCCTCAGGTCCCCTGGTGAATTTGCCAGCATGATCTTAGCCATAGGTTGTACTTTTAACAGTAAATAGGAAATATCCACCACAATACCTTCAATACACAGCATGTGGAATGGTATACATTTATTAGTGTTGCAAGCCTTATGAAAGGTGTGGTGATTTTGTCTAAAACCACAACTTAAACAGTCCCAGGTTTACAGCTGTAATTAACTGTACAGACAAATGCACAGGAGATTTACGCTTAAGCACATTCTAATAAAAACAAAAAGTTGACATGATTACTGCTGCTTAGCCTCGGCTAACTTACCTGTTTTGTGAGTACAAACGCCAACCACTCCACGCACAGCGGCTTTAAAAAGAGATATCATTGTGACAATGATCACGGATTGTTAGACATTATTTACTGTCATTCTCAGTAATTACTAAAATCTAAATAAGGGAAAACTAGGCTCTTGTGTGCACCATGCTGGACACGCACAGCTACAAGGTCGCCGCAAGAGCTAACTTCCTGTAGGCGAGATTCCATTTCCGGGTACTTTTTTTATGGTTTAATAATTCGGTTAGTTATTTAAATAGATCCATGTTTAATAATAATCATCATGATTACTATTTATCTACTAGATAATTCAATAATTTAAAATATATTCACACAAAAAGGAAAAAGAAGGAGAAAGGAAAGAAGCATAAAAATCGTGTAAAACTTGTATTTCATAAAATCTAGTTCATAACTTAAAAAAAAAAAAAAAAGAAAGAAAGAAAGAAAATACAAAACGCTTCTCAACTATACAATCTATGTGCTTTGGAGGCATGTTGTCTGGAGATTGTGCTGCAGTCTCAACCAAACTTCATTTGCTCAATAAAAGGAGCAGGGTCACGAAGCACTTCAAATATGAGATTCATCAGTTCATCTAAATAATCTGCAAGAGAGTTTGAATTTGAAAACACATTTTCTATGAGACAGTACAATATGCTGAACCTTCTTAAATTATAATTAAATATCATTACTGTATGTATTGTCGGTCTTAATTTGGTCCTTGGATGACATCCCGAAGGCTGCAGAGAGATCATTACTTCTGTGTTTAAGGTCTGCATTTTCATTATGATGCATTGCTGCCAAGTATAACCTGATTAAGACAAAAAGCAAGATTTTAATGTTCCTTTATTCTAGTATCTTGCAACATATTCTGATATTGGTTAAGTTGTGCAAAACTTAATGAATACTTGTTGGGAAATACCTGCACAACATCCCAGTGGGTGGAAAGATGACATTTCTTGGAGTAAATTCCTGAATCAAATTGTGAAATGTCTTCATTGAATATGTCTGAAGGTTGGGGCAGAGTTTTGCAATATCTTCCAAAACTTGTTCATTGTTGAGGATTCTGTCCACTTTGTTCAGTGCACTTGACCCTTGAGTGTAAATGATAAGAGATCAGTAAAAATACTGAATAAAAAATAAATTTTATTATTTAACTCTTACCTTGTTGCAACCATTTTTGAGAGTTGTTTGACTTTATATCGAGATACGTGCACATGGGATACAGTGGATTTTGGTGCTGGTGAATATTTTGCATATGGTTTATCAGTGACGTCCACTTTGCCACCTTCTCACCTCCAGATGTTGAAAATGTTACACTCCAGTATAAATGATTCTTTATAACACGGAGCCATTTCTTCAATACGGCACAGTCCTTGTGACGAGAAAGCTTCACAAGCCTTTTAGACAACCCTTTAGATATAAGAAAAAGTTAGTAAGAGAAAGATAATAGCATTTATATAATACTTTTTAGACATATTTTTTTATATTATAAATTTACGTTTCTCAAAATGCTGGGTGTCATAAAAGTGTGTAATGTTTTGTTTTTTAAGAAACTCCTGGATTTTGGGGCAGCTCTTTGTGACGATAGAGTCCACTTCCAGATCATTCACACTTAGACGATCTAAACACTGTTTCAGAGCATCTGCTTTTAAATGGCCTTTTCCCATTTTATTGTTCTAGTAAAAATACAAACACATTCAACACATTAAAATATAACAAATATATAATCAAAAACAGTATTTATCAGAATATAGTATTTATTTATGTTTTTGCATTACAAACCTGTACCAGTTGAAGGTCTACAATTGTGTTACTGTCTTGATGAGTGAGTGTATAACAGCCATACCCTTCAGCTCTCCCTAATGACAACGAAAAAGAAAGAAAAAAAAAAGGAATAACACAAACCACACAAATTTGTAGTGTAGTGATTTATACCAAACCTGTCCACATGTCTCCACTGACTTTAAGTTTTCCTCTTTCTTCTTTAAGTTGATCCAATATTTGCTGCTGATCAGCCTTCCATTTATGAACTATTGCAGGCTCAAGATAATTTCTAGCATGTTTTCTGAAGGTGTCATAATTAAATGACTGAAGCTGTAAAGCTTTACAAAACTGTGAAAAGAAGAAAAGAATAGAGCATTTTTGTTCATAAAATTGCCTCTATACTTAGTACACTTACTAAACTACACAAATACCTTTTCAACTTGGTGGAATGACAAGCCAGTGAAATAAATGGCAGCTGACATCTGAAGATTTCCAAGAGGTGTACTTCCAAAAACAGGTTGACTTTTCCAGTCTCTGCTATAGTTACAATGTGGACAGTGTTGATCAAATGAGATATAGGTACCCATACATAGACCTTTGACCTCACAGGGCATGCTGCAGACTGGACATGAGTTGAACAACTGTCTAAGGCAGGATTCATAGACAATGTATTTGGTATTATTACTGAATGGTCTTTCCTCAACCCTACAGGAGAATAAAAACAACAGAATTTACAATATAAGATCTTGTCATGTGCACTACAAAAACATCTTGCCAGGAAGTATGGACAACCTTCAACTTACGGAAATTCAATATCCACTGGTATTGAGTCTTTAGGAGGGAGCACAGACTCTGTATTTTCTTTGGACTGAAGTGAGATGTCAGAGTCAATGGGGGCCCACTCTTCAATAGATTCCCAACGAGGCCTCTTCCTGGAAATGCCCCGATTATTACAAGTCATCTCAATCTCAGCACAGATGTTGTCAGGGGTCTGGGTTTCTATACAAAGAGTAGTTTAAGATTAGGGCCAGTTTTAATACATAAGCAGTAGTTGTAAAGTTTGTAAATATACTTGCAAATCCCAGCAAGTTGGTGTTACACTCACCTTTACACTGTGACGGTGCTGGTTTAGGCATGTTTGTTGATGATTCTTGACTGCATTTGTACCTCATTGGAGTGACTGCAATATGCTCTTCCTCTGTTTTTATCTAACCACATAATTCAGACACAAATCAAGCAAAATTATCATCTATCTTATACTATTATTAACTTTTAATGGTCTGAATTATGGAAAGATTTCTTGATCTACAAAGGAGTACACACAACATAAGCTTATTCAGCTGCTGCCCTTTTTGACACACAAAGCCATTTTTTAAAAATAATTAATTTTAGTTCAGCTTTTTTATAGTGTCTGAAGCACAATGTTATATTGCCATTTTTATAAAGAGGGTGATGAATATTTTTATTTCTTGCATTTGTACAAAATTTAGTTAAAAGTGTAAATCAATGATAAAATGTTAATAATTAATTAAAATGTTAATTGTTCACGATAGTTGATAGGATAGTGACAGAATTTATGTCACAGTAAAAGAGAGCTAACCAAGTACACTACTTACAATAAGTTAGGGATATTGAGAGAGAGCCAGTGAATATCATATATACGGTGTTTGTTTCACTTCAGAAACTTTTGGGATAGGGAGGCAATCGTATTGGGGTGACAGACAAACCTGATTTTGTGTTTTCCATGTAATGGTCTCACTGTGTACAGTGTGCCTTACATATTGGAGCCAAAACCCTTTTTAATGTGGCATCAATTTCAACATTCTGTGGGTATAAAAAGCTGGTATTGTCAAGTCATTCCAAGTTCACAATTCAAACGGCCATGAACACACGACGTCACTTAACAGACGAGTAGCGCCACCTAGCCATACCGCGCCTTCAGGGTCAGTGGCAGGCAGTCAGATGTTGCTTGTGAACTTGGTGTGTCTCAAAGTGTCATCAGCAGACTTTGTGACGGACCCAGGAGTGGAGCCTCATGACTGACAGACCACAACGATGACCAGTAACTAAGGACCTATACACTCACTGCCACACAGCTGCAGGCTCGTTTTCGAGATGTGAGGGGTACTAGGGTTTCCAGACAAACCATTTGAAACTGACTCCACCGCTTTGGTTTGAATGCCAGACGACCGTTGCAGGTGACTCTACTGACACCAAGACACCGCCGTGAATGTCTGCAGTGGGCACAAGACCATGTGACCTGGACAATGCAGCAGTGGTCCACCATCCTGTTCACTGATGAGTGTCGGGTCACCTTGCACAGAAATGATGATCGTCAGCGTTGCTGGAGAAGGCGAGGTGAGCGATATGCCGAGGTCAACAGGATTCGTTTTGGTGGAGGAGGTGCAACAGTCTGGGTAGGCATCACCAGTCAGTGCAAAACAGATTTGGTTACTGTAGATGGCTCAGTCACTGCATGTTCTTACCTCAGAGACTTCATTGAACCCATCATCATCCCCCAATTCCACCAGCACACCCCCAACTTTCTGTTCATGGATAATAATTCTCCACCACATCTTGCCAGAATTGTCACTGCTCGACTTCAGGAAGTCGGAGTGCCTCATATGGTATGGCCAGCACTGTACCCTGACCTGAACCCCATAGAGCACATCTGGGACCAGCTGAAACAGAGACTGGATGATCGTAGCCCACCCCCACGTGACCTGGTGGAACTGCATGTAGCACTGGTGGAAGAGTGGAACACATTGCCTCAGAACAACATCATGAGGCTAGTGAGGAGCATGAGACGTCGCTGTCAAGCTGACATTGCAGCAAAAGATGGAAACACCCGCTACTCACATTGTTCATTTTTGTTACTTGGGGCTATCCTTGTTATTGTCTAAATTTTGGGGGTAATACATATTAAACTAATGAAAATGGTGTTTCTTCTCATTCATTCTTAGTAATATCAAAGGGAACTTTTACTTATTTCATTAAAATTCAGACCAAATAGGAAAAGCACTCATGTAAATAACAATATCCCTAACTTATTGTGAGTAGTGTAGTGTTGAAAAAAAGACAGATACTTAAAAATATACTCTATAATTTTTTGGTCTGACCTGCTTGTTTCATTGCTCTGTGTGAAATGTTCCACTGTATGACATTAAACAGCTCTACCTTCAATGTATTCAATTACAGGTGATTTTATAGCTCAAAAATACCTAGAAAAACAGGGATTCTGACTCTGAGCAAAGTTGCCTCTCCACAGATCTGGTTTGGTCTCCATGAAGATAGAAAGGTTTAATACCATACCGTGAAACATTCCAAACAAAGAAATAACATCTCCATGGAGAAAAGTATTTGATGGACCTTCTGCCAGAAATGTTACGCAATGCACCTTTAATACAAAAAAAGACTTATATAATATATATAATAAACATCAGTGGAAAAGAAATAACTCACGGTGCAAATAATGGGAACAGATGTTGAGATGTTGAGTCCTGTATCTAAAGTTGCCTTCTTCCTTGCCCTCCTCCTGGCCTGGGCCCGCCTCCATTGTTGTCGTTTTAAACTCCGCTCACTCTCACTCACTTCCTTTATAGATTTTCTCTTCCCCAGCTCCCGTTCTTTCTTCCACCTCTCCCTCGTTCTCTCCAGGTATTGGGCTCTTTTCTCAGGGTCTGCATCTCTGCGAGCACGATACAGTCTTTGCCTTTCTGCTCCACTTGTAGGCATTTTAAAACCACCTGTAAAGTATTCATATACAAATAAACATTTTGGTTAATAATAATCCAGAGATATTAATAATGCACTGGATTTATATAACGTCACGTTGGGTGGTGGTAAGTTAATATTGTTGCTACATCTGCCCCGGAGTAGAGTGACATAACTAAGGCTGCCAACTGCCCCCTGAGCTTCACCGCTAACTCACTCACAAACCACATTCACACAAAACAAACTGAAAGAAGTGTCTTGCTTAGGGACACAACGGCAGTATCCACTATAGCCATTACTGTCCCTCTAAACTTTAAATTGGACAAAATGCTTCATGCACTTTCTTGTGTACATGTGCCTATATGGAACAAAAAAAAATATTAATTTAATAAATAAAATTAACAAAATCATTAAAATATATGTCTACTAAACTAGGAGAAAAATGTCATCCCTGTAACCAACATGTCAGGTGGTGTAACGTTGGTGTGGTAACGGGGCTGACTGTAACATGACTGACCCTTTTAAGATAATCTGCTCACTGCTAGCCTTGATATGCAAAAATACAGCTCTTTTTGTAGAAGTAAGGAAGTAAACCTACCTTTAAGACCACAAACCTGACAATACTATTACAAAAGGGGTTAATACAGTAAAAACTTATTAAATCTGGGATCATGGGGTCCTGGGCGGAGCACGACGTCACTTCCTGTAAATGAAAGCACGTGGGCTGTACTTTTTGCCTCGTTTGCAAAATTTGAGTTTAGTGATTTTTGTGATGGATCTTGCTTTGTAAATTTGAATGAATATCAATAAATTCGTAAGATTATCGTCTGTGGGTTTGACTTGGTGATAGTAACAGGGCTGACGTGACGCAGAGGAGCCAAGATGCTGTACACCACTGTAAGATGACACGTGGGATAAATGTGCATCGGCTTTGTTTTGTTTTATGAGACAATGGTTAACAAGATCACACGGGATTTTAAAAGGAAAGAGCAGGGTTTTAAGAATATGTGTCGCTATAATAGTCTCAGGTCGCTAGATGTCGCTAATGTCTTTATTGACTGCAGAGTGTAACTAAACGGTTTTAGACTTAGAGAGACTTTATTGATCCACAAGGGAAATTACTTGGACGCAGTAGCTGACATTATATTACAATAACAAAGAGTAAAAAATATATATTGATTAAAAAATGTAATAAACTTCTAAATAATAAAATAAGTAGCAGTAAAAAAAATAATAAATAAAAAATAGCAAGAGACTGGTATCAATAAAACATAAATTGACATGACATAGGCTTATCTGTTACATAAGGGTGAATTATTGTACAGTTGTATAGAGTATGGTATGAATTTAGTTTAGTTTCCCTTTTACTACAGAGATATAACATATTCAGTTGTACCCATGGATCTGTAATAGTTCTATGGTTGTACCTTTTGTCAAACCATTTTAGTGGACTGTAGACTGAAGCTAAGAATGTTAATAGTGTCTAACATATAAGCTTAATTTTATCATTGCAAAATCTCAACATCAAAGTGTTTGTTTGCCATTTATCCACGGACTTTTAGATGAAAAATTGCCTCTCTGTGTAATTCTGGAACATTTAAAGAAATGTTAATTAGTGTACACCACGGGTGTCAAATATACGGCCCGGGGGCCGGATTCGGCCCTCCAAGACCTTTAATCTGGCTCTCACAGGTACTTGAATGATATTCTGAAGATAACAGCTCCTCACGGTGCCTGATACTGATGCACTTGAGCTAAAAGATGCCAAGTTTCAAGAGGAAAAAGAAAGCGTGACTAAATTCTATGAAATGCAAACAAGTTAATATTAAAACATTGTGTTGAAATTGTATTTTTCTTAAAGTTCATAATATTATAATATTTTGTAAAAGAAAGAGTTCATCAACTAAAAAAGATTTCTGTAATAGAGTTGTGTTTGCCCAAATATTTGAACGTATTGTTATTTTTGGGGTTTATATGTCATAAGTTTTCTGATCCGGCCCCTTTGGGATCAAAGTCGGTTGGATATGGCCCCCAGACCAAATGTCCTCCTGATGTACACTGTCCCAGCTAAATAAACCAAATAAATAAATAAATATGTTGGATGCAAAACTTAAATATATGTGATATGTGAGCAACTGTGTCCAAGTAATTTCCCTTGTGGATCAATAAAATCTAAGTCTAAAGTGTCAGCAGTCAATGTGCAAAACATCACACAAATATGTTTATTATTCTTTTCCACAATGACTGAAAATATTTCCATAGGAAGCATTTATAAACTGCATTTATATAAAAATGAAGTACCACAAAGACATAGTAATAAATAACAAACATAGTCGGCACTAAATGCCATGGTACAGAAGGTCATATTTGGGTATATTCCGGGGGTCTATTGGGCTCTGGACAATCATCTTCCCTCTCATGGCTCCTCTGTAAATTACTTCAATCAAGTCCATAAAATCCTGTTTGGTCTTAAAGCTCCCGACAAACTTTGTGTGATCTGGGGAACTAGAAGAAAAAAAAAAAAATGGTAAGGAAAACTAAAGCATGGTGAAAATACAAAGGTAGTAAAATAGGTGATTAGGCATAATAAAGAGGAGAAGAAAGAATTATTACTGTATGTATGAAAGCAGCTTGTATCTATGAAATTTATGAATAAAGTAATTAATAAAGTTTACATTAACATTGGTGATGAGACTAAATACAGTGATGTCTGCATGTCATTTTGTATCTGTAGTGAAAAGCAAGTGGAAACTAATTTCAGCGAACAGATAGGCTACATAAATAAAGGGGCTGGGCTCTGAGCAAAACAAATTATATGCATATGATGAATGGAGACATTGCAGGATGTGAGGATGTGGAAAATGGATGGTCCAGATAAGAACAGGACAGAAGGCGGAGCGATCAGTTGTAGTCTTGGTCTAGTTAAGGTTTAAGCACAGTTTAGGCCCAATTTTCAATGTGCAAGGGTGAATGTACCCAGAGCTGAAAATGTTGAATGAATTTCTTTAGGAATTACCGGTATATGATTACAGTTCATGTTAGACAATGAGGTAAGAATGAGATGTTTTGCTATGGACAAGTGGCATGCAAAGGAGTGGTAACAAATATATAGGAAGACCATGACTGAGAGAAAGATGGATCGATGGATTTAGTGAAGCATGAAAACGATCATTGTTCTGACAGACAAGCGTGTAGAAGATAGACAAAACAGGAAACTTAAAAGGAAAATTATTTACTTACAGTATAATAACGTTATTATTAAAAGCCAGCATGAAAGACATTTGTGTTACTTTATATTACATACATAATGCAAATAAGTCTCACCCATAGTCAACTTTCATGTGCTGCCCATTGAAAAAGAAAACAGTGGAAGGGATGTAGCTTATGTCAAAATATCTGGTGTAAATTGGAGCTTTATCCACATCAACGATATAAATAGACGCCATGTTGCTCAGGTCATGGGCTGTTTTAGAAAGCTGAAAAACAAACAGTTGACATTTAAGTTGACAAAATGGCTTTCATGGTCAATTTTGTTGTATTTTGATATGATAACGAAAATACATTCTTACTATCTCATCCAGTTGCAAACAAACAGAATCCTCGTCTCTGCCAAATCTCAAGACGACGACTTTTTCAGCTACACCTTTAATGACTTCATCTATATCCTTTTTGCACGATAATTTGGGTAGAAATAAACTCATTTTACAGGTAAACGCTAAAACAAAACAAAAAAGCGTTGGTCATGCGGTACGACGCTGAGAAAAGTCCGTGTGAAAAACGCGGCACATCGAATTCAAGTCAATTGTTTCCACTACGACCCAATTTAACGACACACCAAAACAACGTGACCTTTCAAATATGAAACAAGATGAACATTGACTGAAACAACTTGGTGGAAATCGGATTAACTCATTCATATGACAGTAATATCTACTTTTTCGGCAACCGAGCTATGTGGGAATCAAATTTTAATCGCTCCTTTTTTTGTGGTTTGATTTGAAAGCCGATGACAACAATCACGATGCTACGTTTCCTGACTGCCCGGGATTTGATTTCAGTCTTCAAACGAAGTCTTCCTACGGCAAAGAGGCAGGTGAATCGCTTTCCTCTTCCACAAAGCGGCGTATGCGTTCAAAAAGTGAATTTCTTTACAATAAGCCCCTCCAGAAAAGATGCCTCGCTTCCCAACCCACGTGTGTCACATGGACCAGATCCTATAGACTTGGACAAATGGAAAACAGTAATGAGATCAAAAGCAACACCAGAGGAGAAGATACAAGTGGACGATGAAGGTGAAGATGAAGATGAGACAGAGGGCGACTTGACACTCGAAGCAACCCGTGAACTTGTTTCAATGTGGAGGCTTGCTGGAAAACTTGTACCTCAAGAAATTACTGATGAGGAGCTCCAAGCCCTTGCAAAACTCACTACAAAGTCTGCAAGAAAAAAGTACCTAAAATATCTGGCTATCCGAGAGGGTCACAAGAAGTCAAGAAAAGAGAAACAGCTGAAAAAGAAAGCCTATAGGGAATCCTTGTTAGAGCAAAAGCGTGAGGTGGAGGGAGAGGAGGATGATCAAAAAGTACCAGAAATTAAGAACTCTCTAATTTTACAGTTTTGGAACCGGTCCTTGGACAAGGTGTTGGGCTGGAGGTGTGCCCAGGCTATGATTTTTGGTCAGCCATTGATTTTTGACTTGAGTTATGAGGATAACATGACAAAACGTGAAATTGAAAACACTGTATCCCAGCTTATGGAAGTGGAGGCGTGGAACAGAAGAGCCAGTGATCCGTACCATCTACACTTCTGCAATCTCCAGCCAGACAGTTACTACAAAGAGCAGTTGATCAAACGTTATGGAGAAGAAACTTGGGACAGATTGCTGATAACCAGCACAGAAAAGCAACATTTTGAGGTTTTCCCACGTGAACAGCTTGTGTATCTTACTGCTGATTCTCCAAATGTCCTTCGCACCTATGACCACAGCAAAGTCTACATAGTTGGTGCTTTAGTGGACCGCTCAATCCAAAGAGGACTGTCTCTAGCAAATGCAAAACGTTTAAAACTGGCCACAGCACGTTTGCCTCTAGATGAGTTCCTTCACTGGGAGACAGGGGCTAAAAATCTGACTCTAGACCAGCTTATTCGTATCATGCTTACTATTAAGGACACAGGGAAGTGGCAAGAGGCTTTGCAATTTGTGCCAACAAGGAAACATGATGGATTTCATCCTCACCAGCAGAAAGGGACCAAACACGTGATAAATAAAAGTGCGAACTTCTCTGCAAAAGATAATATAAAACCTGCATTAAATAGACCAAGGACTTTGAAACCCAAAATAGGAAAATCAAACCAACCAACTAGAAACAGAAACTGGTGGGATGAGTGAGGAGATTATAATCTACAAACCATATTTAAAGAACATAAATAAAAAGCCTTTATTTTCACATTCTGAATGAATGAATCTGAGGATTAATACAATGTAATGTAAATATCAAATACAGATCCATAAACAAAAATAAATATGCTTAAAACATTTGAAATACCTTGATTCTTTTTACATCTCTTATAAACACTGCAAGATTTACAGCCAACAACTCCCCATCACAGCAAGGAATTGTACAGGCTTTAGTACCTGTGTAATTTACAACTGTCCAACCACTGCATGATGTTTGAAGCTAAGACGAGGGCAAGTGGCCCTAAAATTATTGCATCATCTCTCACAATTACATAATTTGTGCTAGTATCAAAAAAAAGCTATTAACAGCAGCTTAGAAGTTCAAGTATGAATAAACGCACAGCCTCCTAGTTTATACTAGTTTTCCTCACCGATCCTAGAATACAGTTCATTTGTTTAAACTTTTTCCTCACTATACCATTTCAGCAGCAACAAATTAGCAATCATTTACCTTAAATAAATGTCTTATGTGAAAACAGAAGCGGCATATAAAAGGCTGGTCAAAAGTTCATCAAAATCACAGAGTCTTACATTTCAAATGGGTTTTAAAGCTCTGCAGCTTTTGCCAACAGTAACAATAGTCCTACAGCACTATGATGTCCCCAGTGCAGCGCTCACAGCAGTTGAAGGTAATGTTTTCATATCTAGTGTATGGGTGAAACCTGCCAATACTCTTTTTATTATTAAGAAAGTTTGCTGAAGAATCGTCATTCAAAGGCGTCTCAGTCTGGTCTTCAGAATGGGAAATTGGGTCCAAGATCTTGAGTACCTAGAAGACAAATTGAAACTTAAAACGTACTTCTTACTACAATATTAACTATTTTAGACACTTGCATACACACCTTCTCTGCCATTTTCTCGGCTGGCGTGCTGCATAGTTGTTCAGAGTTGGTGCTGCTGGCTTTAGCCACGTTGCCACTGGTGTTTCCGAGCAGGTGAGAGTTGATGGCGTCTGCGAGTTTGTGGTTCGCTGAGGCCAGTTCTCCGGTGCTGAGAGGCTGAGCACTGGGGTAGTACGTCTGCTGCCTGCCCCACTGAAGGGAAACCAAGAGCTGCTCCAGTGACCTGTGGATTCAAACAATTAAGGATTGTGTTCATGTCCACAAATCAATGTAATGTAGTGTGGAATTAAATCTGTTGTAAATAGTGGTGGGAAATATTGACATAAATGCAGAAATTGGCTAAAATGTGCCAATAAATCTTGAGGTATCACAAAGAACTGAAATATCACTAAATACACATTGTTTGAAAGATTACACTAGTGAATAGATGTTTCTAGTCATTTCAGTTTTTTTAATTTTATGTTTTTACTGCTGTAATTTTAAATGACTCGATATTCAACTTTTTGATATGTCCAAACCGACAGCTGAGATATAATGTACTTATTTGTTCTTTTGGAGATGTGTTTGTGTGAAAAATACTCCCAGTCACTTAAACCATAAATCAACATCTTGAAGGCAACTGTCTCTCCTGGTACCTGTGTGTTTGAACCATTTCCCTGGAGAACTCTTCTCTTTCTAGCAGCAAATCTTGAATTGCTCCTTGTGCTTCTCTTGTTTGTCTCTGTAGAGCTGCTCTGGCATTTGTCAGTTCCTCCGCCATCACTCTGAAGAACATAAAATACATTACATATTTATTAGCAATATATAAAACATAGACCATTTCTAAACTTTGACTAGTTAGGGCTGGGCAATATGGCAACAAAATTTCCATTGTTAGTTTTCATTAGAATTTTTTTTTTTAAAACAAGATTAAAATGGCTTTCAGAATTGATTTCATACACATAAACAAGACTTTTAATCATAATCATTTAACTTAAATAGGCAAACTTATTCCACGAAAGAACTCTCCAAACTCTCAATTATATAAATTTAGTGACAGAAATCTCCATCTCGATTAAAATTGGTTTATGTTATTACATTGTCTCTATAGAGTTTGTACCTGCTAGCGAGAAACTTGCTCCTCCAGACGTCACACTGGATGCTCATGCGTTCCAGCTGCTCTGCTGTGTGGGACAGGCCTCGGCCCAAAGCCTCGTTCTCCAGGATCAGCTGGTTCTTCTCTCGGGCCAATCTCTCAAACTGATACTGGAGGTCATCACCCACAGAGGCCACCAGCAGCTTCTTCAGCTCACGGTTCACCTGCAAACAATAATACAGGGCCAATGTGAGTATAATTTTGGTTATTGGTAACTATGGTTACACTATTGGTTTCACTCTGTATGTTAAACTCTTTAATCACATTTTGTAGTTGAGATCAAAAGAATCCTGCAATGAAGAATGATAAACTAGATAAATGTAGGGATGTGCAATTAATGTAATTTTAATAGAATCAGATCATTTCTAATTGTCAATGACATATTTTGTCAGTAAAAGCATGTGGTTTAGAGCATGTTTCATACTTAGGAGGAAGAAATCTTAATATTGTATATTGTCTTGATTATGTTAATAATAATAATATCCCTAGGCCTTGATATATGTATAGTTATTGCATTTGTATACAAATAATAAAATAACAACAAAATAATTTCAAATCTATGGTCAAACTACAACAACTTTATGGGGATCATTGCACAGTGCGCAGGAAAAGTGCTTATCATAACCCTAGTACAATTCAATTTATTAGATTTGTTATGCTGCACTTGCCTCCGTTTGCACACGCAGCTGATTGCACAGTCCTTCTTTGTCCTGCAGCAGTCTTCGTTCAGAGTTCTGTAGTTTTTCCAGTTGGATTTTCCAATCCTCCACCAGGGGCAAAGGAGGCGAACCCTGCTCCTCTCCCTGTCCTGTCTCTCCTTTGCCTTCTGCAGGGGCCTTATGGCTGCGTCTGCTTATTGCAGCCCGGGGCACTACTATCCTCACAGCTTCTACCTCAGTACACACTTCTCTACTCACTTTCCCCAAATGTAGCACCCCAGGAGGCTGTGGGGAGGAGGGACGGGGTGGAGATGGGACTGCAGACTTGGGGCTGCGTTTCGGACTGGCTACTCTTAAAAGGGGAACATGAGGTGGAGTTGGTGATGGTGGTTTTTCTGTGCTAACTTCTATAATGGCTTTTGGTTTTTCAGTTTCCATGCCATCACCCGGGCCCCGAACAGGCACATGGGAGGATGCTGCAACACACACAGAGAAAAAGATCAACGTAAATTGGCAGTCCTATTTAGGATAATAATAGCCATAAACTACTACCACGTTAATTACATAATATAGGTGCTTTAAATATAACATAACAGTGTTTACATTGATCTGTTGGCAAACTGTACTGCAGTATAACATATGTAAATTGTAAACCAGTCAGTCCCCCCATTTCCAATCCTCTATTTTAAGGTGATAATCATGAGATCTGTCTTAATAGGAACAAAAGTCTATCCATACCCCTCACAGCAGTCGTCATGATGGTGATGGCGAATTCACTGGTTCAGGAAAATGTGTGTCCAAATCACTTTGTTTCCTGAAAGAAGATTAATAAAAGTCTGTAATGACACGGGTATATCATAGTGTTTACAAAAGAGCAAAGAAGACCGCGAGGCAAAGGCCACACCGATAACGTGACTCGATAATTGTAAATGTGTGATCTGAAGACAACAATAGTCCGAGGACTCTTTGCAAATAGCTTGATTTCTGGCGTGGCGACGAGTTACAACTTTATGTTACTTGTTTGCATTTACAACAAGACTCCAATTACAGGGATTAATGAGTGTTAAGAAACATTACACATATTATAAACCCATAGTTTCGATTATAACATACCTCACGTAGTTCTCCGTAAAACACCGTAAGCTGCTTTTTCAGTCACCGGACATTGCTGGCGTCAACAGTGGGTGAACCCCTGAGTTTAGTTTGTCAGGCGCAATTTCCGGCCATGCAACGGGTATATGTTAAATTAAGTTGTACAATCTTCTGCCTGCCTAATATTTTTATTGATTTATAACTGTATACGTTGGATTTGGATTACCTATTCTGAACACAATTTGCTGTGCATTTTACAACCTTAAAGCCTTGAATGCAAAAATTTGGGTTTAAATTATATTCTCAGACAGTTCCAGTTTTCCATAAACGGTGTGATTGAATTTGTCAATACATGTGTTATGTTGTGCATTCCTGTAGCTCCATAAATTGGCCTATAGTTTGATTGTGTCGTTATCGGTGTTTTGCGAAATAACCAATATTTACTGAGCCACATGAACGTTATTGCTTTGCGGAACGCTTAAAGTACATACACATTTGCTACACGGATCAAAATATAGTGAGCACTCTGTTATTTAAAGGCACTTTTGTGACCAGTGTCAGTATTTATATGATTTTAGTGTCCAAAAATGCAATCAAATCACCAGAGTGGCTGCAGATAATTTAGCTGTTGTGAAAAAGACAGGTTGTTTATGAAATATGGGAGTACACGGACTTTGGCGACTACTGGAAAGCACAGGGAAACCCATCAACCCAGAAACACTGGAGGGAAAGATCCTTGCTGTTGGTATCCTTTACTAATTTATGTGATCGCTGCTGTCAAAGTTTCCATGTTTTATAAGTGATTACATTATTAAAGTGTGGACTAATAAATGCAGTATTGTGGTCAACATGTGCCCTTTGTAAAGCATGATCCTTAAGAAACTTTTGTAGATATCAGTATATGGCTGAACCAGGCGGTGAAGGGTGTGAGGGATCGACAAGGCAACAGTGTCCAAAACGCCCACCTGCTCACCCTCTTCCACCGTGTCTGCAAACTGCTGTTCTTCCGCATCAGGCCTGTCTTTGTGTTTGATGGAGATGCACCCCTGCTCAAGAAACAGACCCTGGTCAGTTAAGTGGCTTTTTAACATTGTTTTGTTATTTGTATGGATGGGAATAAAAATGCATATACTGTATAAATGTCACAAGTTGTAACTGTCCTTACTTTAGGCTCTGAGGAGGCAGAGAAAAGAGGAACTAAGTCTTGAGTCCAAACAAACCAACGAGAAACTTCTCAGGACTTTTCTGAAGAGGCAGGCTCTGAAAGCTGCACTTGGAGATCGGAGGTAGACTGTATCTCAGCTTTGGGTTTATTTGTGTTATTATTAAGTAATAGCTAGTAGACCAATCATTTTTAAATGTATTGACTATTGACTATTTCTGTTCTTTGCACTACAGCCAGGAGCCTTTACCCAGCCTCTCCAGTGTGAGGAGAGATGAGGTGGATGACATGTATGTTCTTCCAGCTCTTCCTGCTGCAGAGGAGAAAGAGAAAAGCAGGTACTTCACATTAAAACAAACAAAAAAAAGATCTTGTAATACGTTTAGTGTAATATTTTTGTTCCTTACAGCTCTGAAGAAGAGGATGATGAATCTTCGCATGAGGCAACTGCCAATTCCTGGTACCAGGTATTATTTTGAGGAAAACAATAGAATGTCTTCATAGGACTTCGTAAAAGTTTTAGTGAATAGCTCAAACCTTTTCCCTATTAATATCTACTGTTTTCTTGTTCTTTCAAGGATGACTTTTATGAAAACCCAAACTCAGTAGACATCAATTCAGAGGAGTTTGCCTGTCTTCCTCCTGAAATGAAACACGAGATACTGAAAGAAATGAAAGAGTTTTCTAAAAGACGGCGCACCATGCACCAAAAACCTCCTGAGGTACAATTTACACAATATAGTTTTTCACTTGCCTTGTTTATTCTTCTAAATGTGGACTTATTTACTTTGTTAGCGTTCTGGAGACTTCTCAGATTACCAACTGGCTGGTTTGCTGCAGAGGAATAAATTAAACCTGCGTTTGGAGGGAGTGGAGAAGGAGATGAGTGAGCGTAGTGCAGGCAGTGCTCCTCAGATCTACGGGGATCAAGAGAGCCACAATGTGGAGGCACAAAGGCTGGTTTCAGAGGACCATTCCCATTACATCCTTATTAAAGGTACTAGCAAAAATCAAAAAGCTATACTGCATATTCACAATTTTCATAAACAACACATTTAATAGCTGCTCGCGATTCCTTCAGCATATATATATATATATATATATATATATATATATATATATATATATATATATATATATATATATATATATATATATATATATATATATATATATATGTGTTTCTCACCTTCCACGGTGGTAGGTCTCTCTCACCCTCATTCAGCTCAGGTCCTCTACCAGAGGCCTGGGAGCTTGAGAGTTCTGCGCAGTATCTTTGCTGTTCCCAGTACTGCACTTTTCTGGACTGAGATGTCCATTGTTTTTCCCGGTATCTGTTGAAGCCACTCTTCCAGTTTGGGGGTTACAGCCCCGAGTGCTCCGATCACCACAGGCACCACTGATGCCTTTACTTTCCAGGCTCTCTCCAGCTCTTCCTTGAGCCCCTGGTATTTCTCTAGTTTCTCGTGTTCCTTTTTCCTGATATTACCATCGCTTGTTATTGCGATGTCCACCACCACGGCTCTGCTCTGTTTCTTATCCACCACCACTATGTCTGGTTGGTTCGCCATCACCATTCTGTCAGTCTGTATCTGAAAGTCCCACAGGATCTTGGCTCGGTCATTCTCCACAACCTTTGGAGGTGTTTCCCACCTTGATCCTGGGGTTTCCAGCTCGTACTCTGCACAGATGTTTCTGTACACTATGCCCGCCACTTGGTTATGTCGCTCCATGTATGCTTTCCCTGCCAGCATCTTACACCCTGCAGTTATCTGTGCTGGACTGTCTCAGGAGCCTCTTTGCACAGTCTACACCGTGGGTCTTGTCTGGTGTGGTAGATCTGGGCCTCTATTGCTCGAGTGCCCAGGGCCTGCTCCTGAGCAGCCAGGATCAGTGCCTCTGTGCTGTCCTTCAGACCAGCCCTCTCAAGCCATTGGTAGGATTTCTTGATATCAGCCACTTCAGTTATGTTCCGGTGGTACGCCCCATGTAGGGGTTTGTCCTGCCATGATGGTCCCTCCAGCACCTCTTCCTCTGGACCCCACTTGTCTGAGACATTCTCTGAGCACCTCATCTGCCGGGGCCTTGTCCTTGATGTACTCAAGGAGCTTGGATGTTTCATCCTGGACAGTGGTTCCCACACTCACTAGTCCTCGGCCCCCTTCCTTCCGGCCTGCGTACAGTCTCAGGGTGCTGGATTTGGGATGGAACCCTCCATGCATGGTCAGGAGCTTTCGTGTCTTAACATCTGTGGTCTGTATCTCCTCCTTTGGCCAGCTTACAATCCCTGCAGGGTATCTGATCACTGGCAGGGCGTAGCTGTTGATTGCCTGCACCTTGTTCTTGCCATTGAGCTGGCTTCTAAGGACTTGCCTCACTCTTTGCAGGTATTTGGCCGTAGCCGCTTTCCTTGTTGCCTCTTCAAGGTTGCCATTTGCTTGTGGGATACCAAGGTACTTGTAACTGTCCTCAACGTCTGCTATTGTTCCCTCTGGGAGTGACACCCCCTCTGTGTGGACTACCTTCCCTCTCTTTGTCACCATCCTGCTACATTTCTCAAGCCCGAATGACATCCCAATGTCTGTACTGTAGATCCTTGTGGTGTGGATCAGTGAGTCGATGTCTCGCTCACTCTTAGCGTACAGCTTGATGTCATCCATATAGAGGAGGTATATATATATATTATATATATAATATATATATATATAATATATATTATATATATATATACATATATACACACACACACAATATACATACATATACAATATATATACATATACATATATATACATATATATACATATATATAACATATACATACATATATATACACATATACATAATATATATACATATATTATACACATACATATATATATACATATACATATATACATACACATATATAACATATATATACATACATATTACATATATATATATATACATACATATATATACATATACATACGTACATATATATACATACATATATATATACACACACACACATATATATATACATATATACATACATACATACATACATACATACATACATACATACATATATACACATACATATATATATACATATATATATATATATACATATATATATATACATATATATATATTTTCATTAAAAAACACAATTTTAAATAGTGTTTTTTTTTTTTTTTTTTTTTATTAAATTAGAATTCCAACTTGTAAAATTGTAAAAAAAAAAAAAAAAAAAAAAAAAAAAAAAATAATTCATTGGACCACAATTGCAGTGCAGTTTTAATACTTAAAATTCATAACAGATATTCTATTTGACTGTTCTTTTTAAAAAAAAATCTAATTATATTCACAGGTGCCTCAAAACAGGAAAAAGCTTCACAGAATCAACCACAGCCAGCAGTAGCTCCTTGGTCTGGGAGCTCTCTGTCTGGAGTCAGGAGTCGAGCAACTGACAAACCAGAACCACTGTGGCGTCCCGTCTGTGAAGAAGACGAAAAACAATGGGGTCCTGTTATTCAAGACAAAACAAAAGACCAAAAACCCTCTACATCTGAAAATTCTCAAGATGATACATTACCTCCATCACCACGGACTCTTAAAGCTATACAAGCAGCTTTGAATGACAGCTCGGATGAAGAAAGTAATAGTAATAATAACAAGGATGGCAGTGTCTCTCCACGCACTTTGCTTGCAATTCAACAGGCTATGGCTGAAGATGGCGATGATGATCAATTCAATACAACCACAAAATCGTCTGGGCTGCAGTC